CTGGGACGTGAGCCTGTTGGTTGTCAATTGTCCCTCGCATGCTGCAGCCAACCTCTTCAGTTAGCCAGGTCTCCCACATTCTTTTCCAGTGTCTGACCTGCTCTACACCAGGTTCCACTAGTTCAACCACTCCTGCCTGCACTGCAACCAACCTCTAGTCTTCTTCCAGGACCCTTCCCGCCCGCCATCTACCCCTAGTCTCTCTGGCACCACATTCTAAACTTTCCATCCATCCACAATTCAGATCACCCATGTTCTATATAGGGCCTAGCCTGGTCTTCCCTAGAGATCCTCTCTTCTGCTACAACCTACTTTGTCTATATAAGATTTAGGACTAACAAAAGAAATCCACGTGCCCAGATCTCACCGACAAATGAAATATGAAAGATCAAACTGATATCTTCTTTCCAGAACTAATAGTCCAGTCCTAAAGAAGTGTTTGCCAATGAGAATCACCTAGAAAAATCCCAGGACACAAAATTTAAAAGAACAACCATAAACTTCTTCAAAGAATTCAAGGAATTTAAATATGGCAGAAAGAAGCAACTCAATGAAAGAACTACTTTCCTGAAGAAGAAAGAACTTAAGGAAAAGAAATGTCCGAGTGATCCAAGAAGACACAGACGAGGCTGATGGACACGATGAAGACAATCCAGGATCTGAGAAAAAAATTCAAGAAGGAGATAGAAACACTGAAGAAGATTCAAACTGAAATGAAGGTGGAATTGAAAAACTCAATAACTCAACTAGAAAATTCAAAAGGAAAACCTTACAAGTCAAATGAATCAAGCACAAGATAGATTAGCAGGACTCTTAGACAAAGTAAAGGATCTAAACCAAATAAACAAGGAATATGAAGCAAAAAATTTAAAAAAAGGAAAATTAAAAAACACCATGAAGAAAACCAAACCTTTGAATTATAGGCACAGAAGAGGGGTCAGAATCTGAAATGAATGGCGTAGATCAGATCTTCAGTAAGATCATAGAAGAAAACTTTCCACCAATGCAAGTGCAAGAAGTACACAGAACATCAAGTAGACAAGGCCAGAAAAGAAAATCCCCATGGCATATCAGAGTTAAAACAATATGTATGTAGAACCAAGAAAGTATACTTAAAACTTCAAGAGAAACACACACACACACACACACACACACACACACACACACACACACACTCTCTCTCTCTCTCTCTCTCTCTCTCTCACAGACACTCACTCACTCCATTTAGGAAATTTGAAAGCCGGAAGAGCCTGGAGCAATGCATTCTAAATCCTAAAAGACCACAACAGCTAGCACGGACTAATAAACCTGGCAAAACTATCTGCCTTAATTAAAGGAGAAAGGAAACTTTCCATTGCATAAATAGCCTAAAAAGATTTTTATGTTCAAAAAAACAGTAAGAAAATACAGGAAGCATTATTTTGGGCTGGAGAGAGAAATGAGCATAGCAGAGACCGGGGAGAGAAGTACAAAGCTGTAATTACTATAACACAAGGTACCAGTGAGAGCACAAACAGTACCAAAAGTCAACAACATGGTGACCATGATGAACACACATCACAGTCATAGCAGCTTTAACTATTAATGTCCTCAGTTCTCCAATCAAAAGACACAAACTGGATGGATCAAGAAGCAAAATTCAATTATCTGTTGTTTACAAGAAACATCTTAGTTTTAAAGATGGGCACCACCTTAGCAAAAGGATGGACAAAAATACTCCAATCAAATCTGGTAGGAAGCAAGCAGGTCTTCCTATCCTAATATCTGATAGACTAGACTTCAAACTTAAACTAAAACTTCATTCTAATGAAGGGAATGGTTACATTAAATATGTAATATAATTTGGTACATATGTACCAAACTCTTGTGTAATCAGTGTCATTAAAAAACTGTACTACCAATTGAAAGACAAAGATTAGTATCAATCCATTAATAGTAGGTGATTTGAATACCTCACTTTCTCTGAAAGACAGGTCATATGGACAAAATATAGAAGCATCAGGATTAGTTGACATCATATATCAAATGGATTTGTCAGACCCACAGAATATTCCACCCAAACACCAAAGAATACACATTCTACCCAGCCATACATGGAAGCTTTTCTAAAATAGATCATATCCTGGGGCACAAAACAAATCTTTACAAAGTAAAAGACAAAACTACTATATCCTGCCTGATCAGGATATAGTGCAATAAAACTTAAGATCGAGAGCAAACAAATCTCTAATAAATATACAATCTCATGGAGAGTAATCTAAATGATGGATGGGTCCAAGAAAGAAATAAAAATGAACTTGTAACTAAATGAAAAACAGTAATACAATACAGCAAATCCTCTGGGACTCATTGAAAGCAGTCCTAGGAGGAAAATTGATAACTTTTTAAGTACCTACATTAAAGAATCACAAATAAGCTACTTAGTGATGCAATTCAAAAATTTAGAAATCAAGAACAAACCACATCTAAACCTAGTCAGCGTCAAAAAACAAAGTCAGTGCAAGAATTCAATGAAATAGGAACAAAGAATCAACCAATCTAAGAGCTGGTTCTTTGAGAAGATAAGATTGACAGACCCTTGGCCCACTAAGAGAAAGAAAAAGGATCCAAATTAATAGAATTGGAATTAATAAAAGGAAGCATTTCAGTAGGCACCAAAGAAATTGAGCATATTATAAGGGAATATTATGAGAAAAGGAGAACTCAAAATCCTTCTGTGAAACTTGCATCATCCTCATACCAAAACTAGGTAAAGATACAACAGAAAAAGAAAACAACAAGCCCATATCTCCGATGACTATAGACTGAAAAATGCTCAATAGAATAGCTTACAAACAGAAAACAGACATATATAACAAAGGTTATACACTATGACCAGGTTGACTTTATTACTGAAATGTAGGGTTGGTTCAACACATTCAAGACAATAAATGTCATAAACTACATAAATGGATTTAAAGACAATAATCTCATAGTCATCTCAATAGATGAAGAAACAGAATCCAACATGCTTTCATGATAGAAGTCTTAGAGAATGTAGGAGATGGGGCCATTACAAAGCAATAAGGCATTAGGAGAACAGACTTCAGTCATTATCATTACGAGAGAGGACGGGAAAAGATGGGGGAAGTGGGTAGGTAAATGCCAGGGGATTATGTTTTCTTTATAGCTCTGTTTTCTCATTGTGAAATCCTGGTAGGGTCATTGTCTTCCAGTGAGGGTGGGGGAGAAGGGATGAAATAGCCGCTTAGGATGAGGAGACAAGATGTCAGGTATCTCTGAGTGACAGTGCTGCAGGGACTGACATTAAAGTGAACGCCATCCAGGCCTAGTAAGGTGAGCATCCAAACTGCCTAGGCTCCCACAAAGCCAGTACGTGCAGTAGGATCAAAAACCCATTGCCATTGTTCTTGAGTTCTCAGTAGTCCTCATTGTCCGTTATGTTCAGCGAGTCTGGTTTTATCCCATGCTTTTTCAGACCCAGGCCAGCTGGCCTTGGTGAGTTCCCGATAGAACATCTCCATTGTCTCAGTGTGTGGGTGCACCCCTCGCGGTCCTGAGTTCCTTGCTTGTGCTCTCTCTCCTTCTGCTCCTGATTTGGACCTTGAGATTTCAGTCTGGTGCTCCAATGTGGGTCCTGGATGGAGGTGGGTGGTCCTTGGACTTCCCATGGGGGAGGGGGAGGGAAATGGGAGGCGGTGGCGGGGAGGCAGAAATCTTTAATAAATAAATAAATATAAAATTAAAAAAAAAGAACAAAAAGCACAGCATACAGTGAAATATCACAGTACAACAAAATACTTCAATAAAAAGTTATTGTTACTATGTTTTAAGTCAGAGATTATAGTGCTTTCTACATTAAATAAAAGAGTTCTTGCACTTCAAAAAAAAAAAAATGAAGTGAATGCCACCAGCTCGGCTTTGTTTCTCTCCACCTGTGTTCACCTGGAAAGGCTAAAGCTTCGAGCGGGCAATGCCGATTCCTCCTGGGCCACTCAGGTGACAGTGAGGAGTTCTGAAGAATCTAAGGTTAAGGGAGTAAGTAAATCAAAGCCTCTTTAAGAGAAGCATGAAGACTTGTGGTTGGTGAGGCACAGTGTTAAGAGTTCAGACTTCGGGAACAACAGGAATTAAGAGGTACCGAGTAAGGTTTTTGGTTTACTCTGTAAAGGATTTTTAGTCTTGGTCAGGAAAAGGCTGAAGAGCAGAGGTCAAGGGACCTCAAAAGCCAGAATCTTGGGAGGATTGTGATCTCTGTGCATATGTAATTCAGGCTTAGAGCTGAGGGCTTTGCTAGTTTTCTAGTATTGGTTGCATTGGACCATATGGCTTACTCTCCTTCTGTGTCATTGTTTCTCCTTGGCCCTTTGTGTCTTGTGGGATTCCTTAGTGTCGTTTTCCATGCTGTCTGTGACATTTTTAGTTTTACTTATTGTGCCAGTAATTTTCAGGAATTCTCTCTTGCTCATTAATTTTCCACAATGTAATTTTTTTCTTTGTAGTTTTAGTTTGAGGGTGGTGGTGGAGAGATGGCTCAGAGGTAAGAGTGTTGCTGTTCAAGATAAAGAACCAGAGTTTAGGTCTCAGTACCCACTTGACAAGCTGGGAGAGGCTCTGCATGCACCTTTAACGCCATCAATGAGCAGGTCATCCCCTGTGAAAATACTGGGCCTTGCTGCCTGCCGTCCTAACCTTGCCAAACACTGTAAACTCCAGGTTCAACAAGAGACCCTGTCTGAAAGGATATATGGCAGAGAATGCTAGAAGACACAAGACACCCTCTGGCCCCAGCATGCATGTAGAGGTGCCCATACATGTGCATACATTATACGCATGCTCACACACATGCACGTATGGACATCTTTGTGATTTTTGGTGATTGTGATCCACTTAACTCTAGCAGCAAATATATGACTTCTCCATAAAATTCATATTTATACTCAGGTATTGTGTTTGTACTTGTGTTCTGTAGTTAAGTGTTACATATCTTTGCACTTTAGGTGTCAAAAAATAAAGATGGAAAAGAACAAAGTGAAACCGTGTCACCATCTGAAGATGAACTGTTCTCCTGGCCAGGTCCAAAAACAGTTATGTTGAAGAGAACGTCGCAAGGCTTTGGCTTTACCTTGAGACACTTCATCGTTTATCCCCCAGAGTCTGCCATTCAGTTTTCATATAAGGTAAGAGAATCCCATCCCCTCTGGGCTCTCCCCCCTCTCACCTCTCCCTTCCCCTCTTTTCTATCTTAAAATGAGTGACATATTTGTATTTTAAAATCTTTTTTATGTATTTTTTAAAAATATTTATTTATTTATTATGTATATAATATTCTGTCTGTGTGTATGCCTGCAGGCCAGAAGAGGGCACCAGACCCCATTACAGATGGTTGTGAGCCACCATGTGGTTGCTGGGAATTGAACTCAGGACCTTTGGAAGAGCAGGCAATGCTTTTAACCACTGAGCTATCTCTCCAGCCCCCTAAACCTATAACAAACTTTAATTTCTGAAATATACTGATTCTGAACTCTAGATCTATTTTTTGGTGACTTCTAAGCTTCATTTTTACTCTTCGTAATGTGTGACTTCCCTAGATCTAGAAAAATTCTGTAGGCTCTGGGCAGATTATGGCAATTGATGGTTAAAATATGCTGGTGATTTCAGAAAATTAATAAGAATAGAAATTGCTAACTTTCCAATGTATCATGATGGTAAGTCAGAATTTTGAAATACAGTGACAAGTGTAAGCTGCACGAATATGCTTCAGTTGAGAGCGCTCCTGTCTGAACGGGTCAGTGTGTAATGGTTTTAGCTGCAGTAGATGTGTTTGTGATCATTACTCTTCCCTGCCATTACTAGTGCTAGCTTACAAGTATATCAGCTGCATGTCACAGACATGGGAACTGGGTTAAGTCCTATAGGTAGAGTGGGTCTGGAATTTGAAATTGACTAATGTATTGATTAAAGACATATAAAGATAATATCCAGTTGTATCTAGAGATCACACTTTTTTAGCTGTTGTTCAGTTTTTGAGATGTAGCTCTGGCTAGCCTCAAACTCACAGGTCTCTGCCTCCTCCTGTCTGCAGAGAGCTGGAATTAAAGGTGTGCAAGCACACCTGGACCCTCACTTCATTTTCCTAAATACCTCTTTCCAAGAAAATGAATTACAGGATAGTCTTTTAAAGGCACTGAATATCTCAAAGGTTATGAATAATTACTGCCATTGGACTTAATATTTATCAGTCATGTTTCCTAAAATGCCTGTACAGCGACTGTCTAGCTGCTTTAAGAAGTTACTGATCTTAAAAGCTCTAATAATATTACTTACATATTCACTAGATACATACGCTAGAGCTGTGTGATTTTTGTTTGTTTCATTTAGATCACAAGGAGCATATAGATAATTTTCATAAAATAATTAACACAGGTTAAAAATATATCTGTACTGGAAAGTATTTGTGGAGTCGAAAGAATCTGGTCTGATCCCCATCTCTGTCCCACGTGAGCTCTGTGACCTTGAGCATCGCACTTGTGAGACCCCAGCAGTGCCTTGCTCACGGTGGGCGTGGTGACTTTGCAGCATGAACCAATGGGATCAGAACTGATAGACAGTAATGCTTGGTAGAGCCATGTAATGCTGGGGTTTGGTGCAGACATTCGTGTACGTAGGTCTGTTTTTATATTCCTTCCGTGGGAAATATATATTAGAGTATTTTCCACTTTCATATTGAAATTTTATCAATTCACTCAAAGACTGTGTGCGTGTGCATGCGTGTGTGTCTGTGTGTGTGCACGTGTGCATGTCTGAGGAGGTAGACTTAGGGCCTTAGACATGACACTTGCTAGGCGAGCACTGTATCACTGAGCTATACTCCCAGCCTTAAACGAATATAAAATAATTTTTAGTGGTATATAGTTTTTAGAAAGTGTCCGATGGATTAAAAAACAACGTCTCTATTATGTGACTTAGCTGGCAACCGATTAGTCTCAGAACAGAGCTTATAACAAGAAGAAGAAAAACAACATTTGGGCAGCCAAAATAAAGGTCAAGAGTTATGTAATAAATCACTAGCCTTCAGCCAGAGCTCCACTTTCCTTTCTACAATGCATGGTAGCTTTGATTCTGTCAAGGCTCAGCAAGTACTCGTCTTGATGAGTTTTTTCACACGAGCTTTTTAAAGTTGCTTGCTAATTTCTTAGCTAGAAGGCAGCATGGCAGCAAGAGCCTCAAGACACCAACCAGATGAACTTTCAAACTGCATACAGGAACTTAACCATGTAGTGGTTAGTTCCGTGTCCTGTGGTAGCCCATGAGCGCTCACAGAAGGTCCCTGTAGTACAGTAGCTTCTTATCTCTCAGGCTGCTTTTGCGGTACTTCCGCCTGAGTGGTCCGTGATGCACCCTGCCCCCACATATTTCAGAGCTAGTTGATTTTTTGCTCCTAATCTGGCTTCACCCACAGCCTTTTTTCTTGTGAAAACTCCAGTCCTCTGACAAAGGTGCTTAGTAAGATTCTAATTGGTATTAATTATATACCAATAATTTGCTTTAAGTTTGGCTGTGATCAGATAACAGTTCACTATTGGGCTCATATGTGTATTTGTTTTATTTTGTAGGATGAAGAGAATGGAAACAGAGGAGGTAAGCCGTAAAATCTTTACTTTTTCTCTAAATATACACGTTCCTCTGTGTATTCTTGCTGTTCTGGGGATGGTGTTAATTAAAGTGATTTCAAATGAAGACTGGCTTTTAGGTGTGAGAATCATGGGAGTTGACTATCCTTTGCTCTCATTCCAGGTTTGTGAATTCAATCACTTGGTCATTAGAATTTGGACACTAATGCTTTCATTATTTATGCAGCACAATTCTAAGGATATTATGTAGGATTTTTATTTTGGTCTGAGGACCTTTGTAAACTTAGTGGTCCTTTCAGGGCAGGAGGATCATGTTGTGTTTTATAAGGGTAGCTTCGGGTTCTTCTATTCTTACTCATTTTTTTAAATATTTTATTTATTTATTTATTTATTTATTTATTTATTTATTTATTATGTATACAATATTCTGTCTGTGTGTCTGCCTGCAGGCCAGAAGAGGGCATCAGATCTCATTTCAGATGGTTGTGAGCCACCATGTGGTTGCTGGGAATTGAACTCAGGACCTTTGGAAGAACAGACAATGCTCTAAACCGCTGAGCCATCTCTCCAGCCCCTATTCTTACTCTTTCTGTAAAAAAAAAAATTAATTAATTAATTAATTAATTATTATATACGCAATATTTAGTCTGTATGCCTGCAGGCCAGAAGAGGGCACCAGACCTCATCACAGATGGTTGTGAGCCACCATGTGGTTGCTGGGAATTGGACTCAGGACCTTTGGAAGAGCAGGCAATGCTCTTAACCTCTGAGCCATCTCTCCAGCCCCGAGGCTTGCTTCTTAGAAGTATACATAACTGTGATACAGTGAGCATAACTAGGAAATTAACATTGATAAGTATTAGTATATTAGCTACAGGCGTTCAGTGTTGCTGAGTTTTCCACTGTCATGTTGGTTTTGGTTTTTGTTATTCTAGAATCCCACTTTGCATTCAGTTATGATCCTTCCTTAAAATCCCATAGTCTTTATTTCTCTCCTTTGTTCTTTTTGTAACTTGTGACCTCAACATTGTTGAGACTCTGCTAGTTTTTGTCTTGAAGGATGTTTATTCCCTTGGTTTGTCTGTTTTCTTACCACCAGTTCAAATTTAATGTGCTTTTACCAGTAATACCACATTTGCACCAATATAAGTATATGTTGATGAGAGTTAATAAATATATAACCCATGAACCTTCCTTTCCCATCAAGATATGACTTAAAAATATGCATTCCATCAGTTTGGAAAGTTTCTGTGTATTCTATGTATTTCTGTGTATTTGTAACTTGTTTGGTTTCTCGTCAGTAGAGGGTTTTGCATTTTCTGGAATTTCTTGTCAAGTAGAACAATACAGAATATTCTTTCTGTGTCTTTTGCCTGACTTTTTTTAAATGTATGTATGGGTACTAACAGTGCTATCTCCCCTCCCCCTGCCAGCTGAGTAATTTCATTTGAATCTACTCCACATAGCCTTATTGGATCTTCGTCATGTCTGTGTCTCAACAGCCTGCTTTGTCATGTTTAGGGTTAACATGGAAAGGAAATAATTTCTTTCATTATTGTCCGAAATAATCCGAGGGTGTAGGCCAGATAGCAGGAGTCATAGATGTCACCTGTGCAGGATGGGGCTCTCCTGTCACCATCTGTTATGCACTAGGGTTTAGGACGAGTTCCAAACACTCCTGCTGTGACAGGAGCAGGGACAGTGGAGGAACAAGTACTGGTGCGAGCAAAGGGCATTAGAGTGCTCTGTCATCTCCCACCACGTCCCAGGCCGATGTGCTGGGGCAGATATGGTAACATAGTGTCCTGCTTGTTACGTGGAAATTACATGCCTAATAAATCTAGAAAAATATAACCAGGAAGCCGTGTGTGGATGGTGATGGATCTGCCGCAGCCTTTGAACTAATTGGATTTAGTTAGTGCTTTGAATGGGAAGAATTAATGGAAACACCTGCAGGGGCCAGGTCTCAGAGAAAGAAACTTGGAGAGGAATAGTAACATGTAGATAAAGGATAATCCACCCATTTTATACATACTCTTATTCAAAACGGAGTTGTCCACATACAGAAATACCATGTTGCCATTAAATAGTAAGAAATAAGTTAATTTAAAAAAAGGTACAAAGTTGGATGGGTAGGAAAAGAGGAGTGGTTGTAAGAAGAATATATGGGGAGGGGGTGAATATGATCCAAACACTCGAGATTCTCAAAGAAACTTATAGATTTTGAGTAAAAACATTAATTTGATTGACAGGAGATTCGGTGTACATAAGTATGTTCTGTGTGTCATTGTTAAAAGAAAAGCTGAGTTTGCTTTTAAGCTTCCTAACAGCCAAAGAATCAAGTAATAATAGTAATAGTTAGAAATACACATCGTCTGTTAAAAACACTGTATTGTTTGCATTTGGTAGAGGACAGAGTATCGTATATGTCACTGTTCTGGAAAACAAAGAGAATGCTTCAGCAGTGTTGCTCCACAAGGCTGTTTTACAATGAATTTACATCCCTAGCATACAGTTCCTGTAAAGCAGTGGTTCTTAGTCTTCCTAATGCTGCACCCCAGCACAGTTCTTCCTAATGCTGCACCCCAGCACAGTTCTTCCTAATGCTGCACCCCAGCACAGTTCTTCCTAATGCTGCACCCCACGCAGTTCTTCCTAATGCTGCACCCCCGCACAGTTGTTCCTAATGCTGCACCCCAGCACAGTTCTTCCTAATGCTGCACCCCAGCACAGTTCTTCCTAATGCTGCACCCAGCACAGTTCTTCCTAATGCTGCACCCCAGCACAGTTCTTCCTAATGCTGCACCCCAGCACAGTTCTTCCTAATGCTGCACCCCAGCACAGTTCTTCCTAATGCTGCACCCCAGCACAGTTCTTCCTAATGCTGCACCCCAGCACAGTTCTTCCTAATGCTGCACCCCAGCACAGTTCTTCCTAATGCTGCACCCCAGCACAGTTCTTCCTAATGCTGCACCCCAGCACAGTTCTTCCTAATGCTGCACCCCAGCACAGTTCTTCCTAATGCTGCACCCCAGCACAGTTCTTCCTAATGCTGCACCCCAGCACAGTTCTTCCTAATGCTGCACCCCAGCACAGTTCTTCCTAATGCTGCACCCCAGCACAGTTCTTCCTAATGCTGCACCCCAGCACAGTTCTTCCTAATGCTGCACCCCAGCACAGTTCTTCCTAATGCTGCACCCCAGCACAGTTCTTCCTAATGCTGCACCCCAGCACAGTTCTTCCTAATTCTGTACCCCAGCACAGTTCTTCCTAATGCTGCACCCCAGCACAGTTCTTCCTAATGCTGCACCCCCAGTACAAGAAAAGACCCTATAAGTGGGGACTATTTTTGGAGAGAATAGCTGTTTTGGACAATTGGTATCATCTTGATGCCCTATTGTCCTTTAAAATTGTGGAGTAAATACTCATAATCACACGAGAATAAGGTTGACTGTTGCTGTCATTTCCTTTTCCTAGTTCCTTTCTATTTCCATTGTTCTAGCCTGTTAATAATAGTGTGGAGTACCTGGGAGTTGTGGGAATAGTCTCAGTTGTGACATTTGTGATTTGATTTTTCCTGATGGAATAGTTCTGTAGTCTGTGCTGGTGTGTTCTAGCAGTGACAAGACCCAGGACAGGCCAGATGCACAGGATGGTGTGTGCTTGCCATAGGCAATAGGCATGCCAGAGTGACAGAGCAGCAGCGGGGCAGCCGCGGCCCATGGAAGAGTCCAGGAAAGCTAGACTCTGTGTCCATGAGCTTACGCTCTGTGGCAGGTCCAGCCCTCGCCGTGCCCTCTTTCTTGTGGCACTCCTAAATCTCCAGGGAGGGAACTGAAGCAGACCAGTCAGCTGTTGAGTGCAGAACACCTCAGAGCTGGGTGTGGAAACAAGTGTGCTTTGGTGAAACAAAGTTTGAGTGATGAAAAGAGGCTTAGAAAGCTGAGAAAATGGGGTGTACTTCATGCTAACATTTCTATTAACATGCTGAAAACACATTCTTTCAGAATAATGTAGCTAAAATATGGACCTGAAATTGTGTTGCAAGTTTTTCTTTCTGGGCAGGTCAGTAGCCAGAGATTTGGTGGTGAGTGAAAAATACATTTACATTTCTTTTCAAATGCAGCTGTTCTGACTGAGCTCTTTGGAGTCCTTAGCTGAACCCTATAGGATACATGTTTAATTGAGTTGTTTTTAATTAACTTAACTGGATAGGTATTAATTAGTTGTATATTTTCTGTTATTTTTTAGTGCTCCTTAGTAGAATAGCTGTAGATGTCTTAGTCTTATTTTAGGAAGTAGGAGAGAGAGATGGTCATGATGGTGGCCCCAGTGCTAGAGCAGGCAACAGTGCTGATGACAACACAGTAGTTAATCCTTAGCAGCACAGCTTTCCAAGGGTGGAATACAGTTACTGCCTCTAGTTTTAGATGATGTAATCGAAGCGTGCCATTTAAGTAATTAGCAAGAGGTAGAGAATCTGGGTTCTGAAGTTCCTCTCAGTTTCTGCCATGGCCTCTCAGAGCTTAGCTTTTATGGAATTCAGGCTTGAAAGTATAGAAGAAAGAAGACTATATTCTCTGGATTGTACTCACTGCTAACAGCGCGTGTTCTCTGGATTGTACACACTGCTAACAGCTCGTGTTCTCTGGATTGTACACACAGCTAACAGCTCGTGTTCTCTGGATTGTACTCACTGCTAACAGTGCGTGTTCTCTGAATTGTACACACGCTGGATTGTACACACTGCTAACAGCGTGTGTTCTGGATTGTACACACTGGTAACTGCATGTCCTCTGGATTGTACACACTGCTAACAGCATGTCCTCTGGATTGTACACACTGCTAACAGCATGTCCTCTGGATTGTACACACTGCTAACAGCATGTCCTCTGGATTGTACACACTGCTAACAGCATGTCCTCTGGATTGTACACACTGCTAACAGCATGTCCTCTGGATTGTACACACTGCTAACAGCATGTCCTCTGGATTGTACACACTGCTAACAGCATGTCCTCTGGATTGTACACACTGCTAACAGCATGTCCTCTGGATTGTACACACTGCTAACAGCATGTCCTCTGGATTGTACACACTGCTAACAGCGTGTCCTCTGGATTGTACACACTGCTAACAGCGTGTCCTCTGGATTGTACACACTGCTAACAGCGTGTCCTCTGGATTGTACACACTGCTAACAGCGTGTCCTCTGGATTGTACACACTGCTAACAGCGTGTCCTCTGGATTGTACACACTGCTAACAGCGTGTCCTCTGGATTGTACACACTGCTAACAGCGTGTCCTCTGGATTGTACACACTGCTAACAGCGTGTCCTCTGGATTGTACACACTGCTAACAGCGTGTCCTCTGGATTGTACACACTGCTAACAGCGTGTCCTCTGGATTGTACACACTGCTAACAGCGTGTCCTCTGGATTGTACACACTGCTAACAGCGTGTCCTCTGGATTGTACACACTGCTAACAGCGTGTCCTCTGGATTGCACACACTGCTAACGCGTGTGTTTGGCTTCAGGTGCAGTTTTGATCGGCACAGGCACAGCAGAGCATTTCACACATGTTCTCTAACTTTCCTCAATTTTACAGGCTCACATATTATTGGCTTTTTTAAAATGGAGCATCAGCTTAGCAACAAGGCGTATATATTACCCTTTTTTCCTTATTTTTTAAAATTTATTTGTTTTACATCCCGACTATAGTTTCCTCTCGCTCCTCACATCCCAGACCTCCCTCCCCATATTTATTATCTTAATGTCTGAATTTGCTTTTCATTTTGGTTCAGTTATATTTTTGATATGTGGAATGCTCTTGTCATTTATTTTTATGAGATGATAAGAGAAATCTTAGGTTTGGACCTAAAATAAATTAGATGTGAGCAAAAAGTATCTCTATAGAAATATTTATAACTGTCTTTTCTAAATAAACACTAAATTTGACCAAAATAGTCATTGTTGTATAAATAGGTAAATTGTGATATATAGTAGAATACACAGCAAAATGGATGAATTTTGTAAACTTTTCTTTATAAACAATTCTCCTTATATAGCTTGAACTTATAGAACTTGCCTCTGCTTCCTGAGTGGTACAATTAAAGGCATAAACTACCATGCCTCACTTGAAAACATTTTTTGTCATGAATTACAATAAAATTTACCACTTTCAAGTTAACAACTAAGTGGCATATCTGTCTTTCTCTCTACATGCACACACACACGCAAACACACACATGCATGTGTGCACGCACACACATGCACACATACACGCATACCACCGTTTATCCATTTATCTGTTGTTGGACAGTTAGACTTAATAGTCCTTATGGCTATTGTTGTTGTGCACTGTGAACATATGTGCTGATATTTGGGTCCACGTTCTCCGTTCTTTGGACGAATACCCAGGAGTGTGGTTGCTGGTCACACTCTTTCCCGCAATGGCCTCACCATTTCCATGCTCCCGTGCACTGCAGGAGGTCTCCATTTCTCTGCATTCTCTCTGACAAGTTTCTGTTTTTATATTAGAGTCAACCTCATAGGTATGAAGTGAAATTTCATTGTGGTTTTGATTTGCATTTAACTTATTAATACTTTTAGATAATATCTTTCTGTGTGTTTTTTGGCCATTTGTGTAACCTACTTGTAGAAATATCTGTTGATGTCCATTGCTCATTATTTATTTTTAAAATTATTATTTTGTTATTGTATGTATATGGATGTTTTGTCTGCATATATGTCTGGGCCCCATGCTTGCTTGTTCCTGGTACTTGAGGAAGTTAGAACAGGGTGTTAGATTTCTGAACTAGAGTTACAGGTTGTGGGCCACCACGCGGGTGCTAGGAACCAAACTCAAGTCCATTTTAGTTACCGACTTGTAGGCGTTAAGTATTCCAGTCGAGAAATTAGTTAGCTGCATTATGTACAGTTGGATATCCATTGATCTTGTTTTTCAGATTCTTACTAATTTTGATACGTTCCTTATTTTAATGCAGTCTGAATGGGTAGTACTTGTTTTTAACACTTTGAGTTCTCTTTGAGAACTTTGTACCCCTTGGACACGAAGGTGCTCACTGTGGTTTCCTGAGGTGCTGCTGTTTCATCATTCACGATCAGAACTTCAATTTGCCCATCATTATTGCTTTGGTGTGTGGTTTGAGACCAAGAGAAGTTTTTTCTATAATTTTTATTTTCATTCCCACAGTGTTTAGTGTAAAGTCTGTACCTTTTCAATTACTGTGTAGCGAAAATTGCCTTGCTCATAGTTGTCTGTCTCAGTGTTGGTCTGTCCTGGACTTTGCTCTATCCTGGGAGTTGGCTCGTGGCTTGTTATTATATAGTTTCCAAACCAGGAATTTTTTTTTTTTTTAAGAAGAGAAAAAGAACAGGATAGAGACCATAGGTACTTACGAAGCCCCAAATACTTACTATCTGATTCTTTACAGACACACATCATTCGTGTTGTTCCTGTTTCCCTGGTCATTTTATTTGCATCAAGACAGCACCGCTTTTGATTGTTTTGGTTTGAGAGGTGGCTTTATCCTGCAGCGTATTCTTCCATTTGTTCACGATACCTTGCTGGGCTGAGGTGTAAGTAACTTGGTGCTTTGTCTCCGACTCAGCATTAAACCCACAAACAGGAAAAAAGAAAAATAAAAAAAAATTCCAGGCTATTTTAATTATTATGTAGTATCATAAAAGTTTTAGAATTAGGCTTCAGTTGCTAGAATTTTTATTATGTCTGCATTACTTAGAATATGTAAATGAATACTTGCTTTTAGGAGGCAGAGGCAGGTGTATCTGAGTTGTTCTGGGACAGCCAGGGATACACAATGAGTCCCAACCTCAAAAAAGCAAGCAAGCAAGCGCACGCATGCATGCACACACGCGCGCACGCCCGTGTGCGCGCTCTCTCTCTCTCTCTCTCTCTCTCTCTCTCTCACTCACACACACACACACACACACACACACACACACACACACACACCTAAAACCAAACAAAATCCTTGGCTTGTTGAAGAGTGTAGATTAGTTGGTCTGCATTTTTTGCTTTTTCTCTGTCCATCTTTTGATATAATGAATGTGTATATATTGGTTGGATTTTTAGGTGTTAAACCAACTTTGTATTGCTGACCTAGCCAAGCTTATTCCTACTGTCATGCTTATTATCATCAACTTTGGCTTTTCTATTTGAAGATTCTGGCTTCTCTGCTCAGTGACTGTTGAGATTAGCAGTCACAGAGCAGCAGCAGCTCATGCAAGAGCATTGGTAGGGGAAAGATTACGATGGACAAATAATCAAAGAGGAGGGCCGCAATACAGATCTGGCCCTAAGGCAGAAAAGTGAAGGGATGATTTGTTAGGAGAAGCCTCAGACTTCAGTCTGCATTTAAGGAAGGCCAGCAAGCGGTAGATGGGTTGGGAGAACTCTGCTTTGGGCAGCAGCTGGGACATGCTGGCTTGGCTGGACAGTGGATCTAATGGCTGGAGAACTGCTACCTGCAGAAGGTTCTCAGAGGGAAATGTGGGCATGGCATCTTCATGCTTGATAGCCTGGCCTTCTTCCTCCTCTCCATCCCAGCTGAAGGCATTTGATCCTTTCCAGGCTGGTCCTGCACACCTTGCTTCCCTCCCAGCCTTTGGAGACTGTGAGGCTCTTTGCCTTGTCTAGCTTTCCTGTGGTCCACGAGAGGAAGTTGACCATGAAGCCAGTTAGCAAGCTATATGTATTTAGAAACTTAGATACTGATAACTAATGAAAATTTTCATTTGTTTAATCTTTTACATTTATTTATATATATATGTATTTATTTATTATGTGTATAAGTGTTTGTTTTGCCTGTATGTATGTCTGTGCACTACTTTCATGCCTGATTTCTTCAGAGGACAAAAGAGGTCATCGAATCACCTGAAACTAGAGTTACAGATGGTGTGATCTGCTGTGTAGTTGCTGAGAACCGAACTCCTGTCCTCTGGAAGAGCAGCCAGTGTTCTTAACAACTGAACTCTCTCTCCAGCCCTTTGTTTAATCTTTGTTGTAAGAATCTGTTGATTCAGACTTACTTATAAATTCCTTTTTGAGACTAAAAAAGCCATTTTTCCTTCATGTTTTCTACTTGATATGTTAAGTGATATATTTTTATTCTTTTAATAGTTAGCTTGGTAACTCTGCTTACGCTCTCCTGCCTGCATATCATTGTTGTGCTGTATTGAAGTTTAGTTTTTATTTAATGGAATTCCTTTGTTTTGCCCCCATTTTTGCTTTGTACATTCTTCAGTAATCTTGGAGATGCAATTCTAGTCTTACTTGGCTTCTGCGGTTGCTACTAAGACATTGTAATTTGGTCATACCTTTTTGGAGGTAAACACACAGACATGCACACATGACACAGACACATGCACACATGCCACAGATACACGCACAAAACAGACACACACCAAACACAGAATTGTACACAGAACAGAGGACACGCACACAAAACACATACACATGTACACACACAGCGCACTTAAGTTTTTTTTTCCCCTGTACCTTTAATGCTCAGACATTTCTAATGGTGTAGCAGAGGGAGGATCTGATATCAGGTGGAGGCGGTGGAACTTCTCAGGACTGTGCCGTCTTTTCTCCTCATATTCTATCACTGTCTGGTTCTTTCCGAGGCCTCAGTTAAATATTTTCTTTTTTTGTTTGCTTGTTTGTTCGTTTTGTTTTTGAGACAGGGTTTTTCTGTAGCTTTGGAGCCTGTCCTGGAACTAGCTCTTTTCCACGAGGCTGGTCTTAAACTCACAGAGATCCTCCTGCCTCTGCCTTCTGAGTGCTGGGATTAAATGCGTGTGCCACCGCTGCCCAGCTATATTCCTTTTTAAAATATGATTAGATTTTCATGGTTTTTACTAGATTTTTAGAAGCTAATAGAAAAGTGATAGCCAGTTTCAATTTTTTGAAGGTCTATTTTGTAGGAAATGTTTCACAATTAGTAGAAGATTGAAGATATGTTCATTAATAATACACTGGAAAAATCCCTGCTCTTGGAGACAGCTTGTTGATCATTCGTGTTTGTGGTAAATTTGGTGAGAATCCCTGCCTCTTGGATTGCCCGTTCACGCTGTGGCACTAGTGCAGGTTTGGTGCTACGAAGTATGAAGCCAAGGCTGGTCATGAGATTGTACAAAGGAGACACTTAGTTGTTCCTGGCTGCCTTCCCCCTCCTCCCTCGCTGTGCTGGTCTCCTTCCCTCTTTCCGCCCCTCCTTTTCTTGTGTAAAGAATCAGGATCTCTTTGTGTTGACTTGGCACTCTTGGACTCCTAGGCTCAAGTAATCTTCCCTCCTTAGCCTTTCAAGTCAGGGACAGATCCACTCCAAGATCCACTCCACTTAGCTATCAATGTATTTTTGAAATGATTCCTCTGTATTCTTCTCAGAGCAAAAGTTATGAAGGGCAAGAAATGCCTCAGATGGCTGAATTTTCAGTGAGTAGGTCCCTGGCACATAGTAGGAGCTTATGTGCACCAGTGACCATTGAATAAAGGGAAGGACGGTGACAGCTGTGGTGATGGCTACCATGGTGCTGTTCCTGAGCGACTGCTGCCCGTGCTGCAGGGCTTTGCTTGTGGTCTGTATCTGCTATGTGTGAGAAAACTAGTTCTGTCTCTCCTTTCTTACTCCCCATAGTCTCTGCAACTCAAGGGTTGATTTAGAAACCACATTTTAAATAACTAAGTGTATGTATGAGAAAATAATGAAAATAGAAAAATCTTGGACTTACATAGAAGCTCAGACTCTGTAGGTGAGAAATTTAGAAGTAAGTCTTGATATTACTTAGAGGTAAAGAATGGTAATCTATGATGAAGGGAATTCAGCTGGATTAAAGTAAATATCAGAAATCTGCTTTTTAGGAGTAAACTTTTAAAAGTTGAAAAAACTAATACGTGAAGTTAACTTGGTGGTCAATAAATCAGATGTAATTTCAGAATATCTTTAAGAACTCTAAGCCCTTTTTTAAATATGAAAGAGCTTCAGAGAGCTAACTGGAGGCTTTGGGCAGAGGGATATAGTTGTAAAAGAGTGAGCAAAGTTCACACAGTCTGCCCAGTCTCTGCAGCATGACCGTCTGCTCTACAGATATTCTCTCTCAGGACTGTCGCCTTGGGCAGCCCTGTAATGGGGGTGGGGGGTGGGGGGGTGTTGAGCTGTATTTTCCTAGCTGTTTGGTAACTTGTGACCTGGCTCACAGACACCACTCGGCTGGATTACCCCGGTCTTGTTTCAGATTGCTTTCCAGCCAGCCTATACAGAAAGTATGGGATTCCTAACTTCATAAAAGTTAATTGTGGGATTTACAGCCCCTGCTTTTGACGTTTAGCACATAACTTCTCTTCATTGGCATGAAAACAAAACAGACATGTGTGCAGCTAAATGCTGAGCACAATAAACTAAGAAATCCATTTCTTGTTTTGTCATTCACTTAGCAAACATGAGCCAGACACTAAACTGATTGCGTGGAAGGAAGCATTGTGGCCTCTAACCTCACTTCCCTCAGAGTGTTGATCAGATGCCGCCTGATACAGTGGACTTCCTCAACCATTTAGTAAAAACAGCCCTGCCTTTCATGTTCTCTTTCCTTCTCCTCCTGTGTGGTGTTCTCCATCATCACCTCACACTAATTTCTTCACTACTTTCCCCCTCGCAGTTGAAATATAGGCCAAGAAGTTTTGGTTTTTCTTTTTTTTGTTTTCTTCCTTCAAACTCAGAATAATCTCTGCCATGCATTTATTGGAAATATACAGACCCACACATATGACACTCTGATTTCAAGAAACTTGTAATCTGTTGGAAGGTAGAAATATAAAATAACTCTTTTAAAGTACTGAAAGAAAGTGTACAGCTGTTACAGGATTGTGGCGGAATGAATTATTTTTACACCAGGAAAGAGTGCTTAGGTGACCATTGGTTAGATTGTTGATGGACTTAATGCGGAGGAAGGAAAAACAGCACATGCTGAAGTGATATTTGCCTAGCTTTGGGGAAGAGCGGGGTGGGGTGGATTGTGTGTATTCGTTGTGGGTGACTGATACATGGAGAGTCATACTTAGCTTTTCTAGGTTGAGTAGGTTGAATGATGAAAACTCTGTGAATCAAAGGATGCTAGAAGGAAGCATCTTCCTGTCCCCAGGGAGTGGGGTTCAGTTTGGGATCAGGAGCTTTTCTGATGATCACTAGGGCACAGAGCCTGGAGTTCTTGAGGAGGACCAGCCTTTTGTCGATATGCTAGGGTTAGGTCCCCAGCATAATGAAACCATCCGGAGAGCATGGGACCTCAGAGTAAAGATGGGGCCAGGGAAGATAATGTCTAATGATGGCCAGAGCAAGACAAATCAGGAAAAAGATGTAGTGACATTACATTTGTATGTTAATAAATAAAGATTGCCTGAAGTTCTAAAAGTACAACAGCCACCCACTGACTCTCATCTTTGTGTTAGTCCTGCTTCCAGGAGTCTCAGAATGAGGCTGGGGCTGAGCGCTGTCTACAGTCCTTCACAGTGCTGGGATTAAGGGCGTGCGGGCTCCACTACTGCCTGGTTTCTGTGGCAGACTAGTGTGGCTACTTGGGTTAAAGGTGTGTGTCACCACTGCCTGGTCTGT